AATAAATAAATAGTTAGTCTAGGAACCGACTCTAGAAATTATTGAGACAAAAGCTTAGATTAAGTTAAAGATAAATCCATCTCAGCATCTACTTCTGTCCTACTACCAGAACCATTGAGAGTTTCCTGACTTACGACATTCTTGTATGGTATGGGAGCCGTTCTTTAGCAGACAAAAAAGCTCTACAGAGAACCATTAAAACTGCCCAGAATATCATCGGCCTCCAGCTACCAGCCCTGGATGACATCTTTGCATCTCGCTGTTTGAGGAAGTCGCACAACATTCTCAGAGACTCTTCCCATCCTGCTTACAATCTGTGATGACCCAGGGCATGGCACAAAAGCAACAGTCACAAAAATAGGTAAAGTCCCTTTAATACCTCCAACTTGGCCCCCAATGTCCAGTTATCATCTGCTGGAGAAAAAACTCTCCCAGAACAGTTTTTAAAGGGAAGAAATTCCATCCAAACCCAAAGTATATATAAATTATAAATAAAAACCAACACAAATCACACTGCAGCAATTAACGAGACAAGGCAGGATAAGGAATTGAAGACTTCAAAGTAATAAAACACACACAGTTGGGAGAATGCCAGAACTCAGATAAGACTTAACAAACCAAAATAATTCATGCTTTGCTTCCAGCAACTTTGCTGTGCGTAGTTTGCCTTTTTAACCAGTTTTACCAGCTGCAGCCAATGAAGGGGATCAGGGCCCTTTCCTCCCCCGTAAACCACACAACTCACATTGCTCCCTTATCTGTTCCTCCCTGCATGCCCTAGGATGAAGAGAGGGTGGGCCTGGGTCTTCCTCTGAATGCCCAGCCGGACTGTGCCCTTCCCCAGACATGCTTTTAGCTCTGTTATTCTTACTCCGTTTTGACTGGTTTCACTTTTTGTCTTATATAGAAACCTTCTCTCTTGACCTTGTTCTTTTAACCTATTTCTGCAAAGCTAATACTTTCCACTGCCAACTCCATCTTTATTTCCATCTCAGCCTCCTGCCTCCAAGGTCCAGAAAAAGATTGGACCAGGTAACTCGCTTAAGAATTGCATAAGAACTATCTTAAACTTTAGTTAACGGAATAACAGAGTTGGAAGAGAGACCTTGGAGGTCCCAGCAGGAAACCCTATACCATTTCAGACAAATAGTAGTCCAATCTCTTAAAAAAAAAAAAAAAAAACCTCCAGTGTTGGAGCATTCACAATTTTGGGAGGCAAGCCCTTCCACTGTTAGGACATTCCTCCTTAGTTCTAGACTTTTTCTCTCTTTGGTTAGTTTGCATTCATTACTTCTTGTCCTTCCTTCAGGTGCTTTGGCAAATAAATTGACCCCCCACCCCTCTTCTTTATGGCAACACCCCAAATATTGGAACACTGCTATCATGTCTTCCTTCGTCCTTCTTTTCATTGTATTAGACATATCCAATTCCAGCATCCGTTCTTCGTATGTTTTAGCCTCCAGTTCCCTAATCATTGTGAGCATAAGGATTGATCCATTGATGCTATTCAAATTTTTTTACTACTGGTTCTGTAGGCGTGGCTTGGTGGGTGTGGCAGGGGAAGGATACTGCAAAATCCCCATTCCCTCCCCACCCCACTAACCTGCTTTCCAGCTCTGTTCTCCTATGCAGGACAACAAAAGAAGACCCAGCCCATCAGCTGGGACTCGGAAG